CCCAGGCCCTGCTCCTGCTCCGGGCCCCCCACCCCGGCGGCCGTAGTGTGTGTCAGGCGCAGCCCGTGGGTGACCCCCTCCTGCCAGGAGCCCGCTGTCAGGTCCTGTAGGCAGGAGATAAAGGAGCCTTCTGCATTCCAGTCCCTCAGCCTGGGCACCGGAGAGGGACAGGGACAGGGAGAGAGAGACAGAGAGAGAGAGGCAGTCAGCTTGGCCGCGCACTCGCTGCCCCGCGGAGCACCAGCCTGCGTCTCGCCCCCGCGCGCCCCCGGCTCCGTCCGCGCGGCCTCCCAGCGCATCCAGGGCCTGGAAAAAAGCAGGATGAGGTGCAAAGGCACCTCCTCCCCCCAAAAAGCAGAACGAGATGCAGAGGCACCTCCTGTCCTCATGCTCCCTGCCTGTCCCCCGGCTCTCTCTGGGCCCTGCACCGTGGCGTGCAATGGGGTCTAAGGCAGCCTCCTGCATCAGCAGGCTCTGCTGGGGACCGCAGCGGGGTCGGTGCCACCAAGAGCACGGCAGGAGGTGGCACGAGCTGAGCTGGCTCTGCCCTACATATGGGGCCTGGGTGGCTGCGCGGGCTCTGCGAGGAGCCCCACAGAGCATCTCCAGAGAGGTGCCAGGGGCTCAGCCACGGAGCCCCTCAGGAGCGCGCCAGGCTGGGAGATGCCTGCAGCTGGCCCAGCACGGGGCAATAGCTGTGGACGCAGCTCCGCTCCCCTCCCACGGCCTCGCCGGCACCCCGGGCCACAGTACCTGCCGTCACTCTTCTCAGCAATGTGGCTCACAGTAGGCGATGCCGTGATCCGGGCTTGCACCTTCTGCTGAACTGAAACGAGAGAGACTTCACTCTCCGCGTCCTCCTCCGCGTCCGTCCGCGGCTGGGGCGTCTTCCCCTCTGGCCTCTGACCCTCCTCCTGCTCTAGCAGGTCAATCAGGCCGTTCATGGCATCTGAGTCCACTGTGTCATCCTCAACCAGGTCCATGGAGCCCAGGTGGTCTGGGCCATGCGCGTCTGCCAGGGGCTGACCCGGGAATCGGCCTTCGCTTGTGGCATCCGAGTCCTCGGCCTTGCTGCACTCCAGAGAGGAGTCCTCAGCAGTCACCAGTGACGGCGTGAGCCCCGAGGACCACACCTGCATGTCGGACATCTCCATCAGGGCGTCCTGCTCGGTGGCAGCCATGGGGATGGCATCCATGATGGCCACCTCATTCCAGTACTGGTCGGCACGCAGCGGGGACGGCAGTGTGTAATGCAGGGAGGCAGGGGACAGCAGCTCGTCCTGCAGCGAAGCACAACCTACATGGGCAGACAGAGGCGACATCTCCAGCGGCCGTCTCCCCCGCGCACCCAAGCGCAGCTGGAAGAAGGGGAGCAGCCTCGGAGCGGGAGCCTGCTCTGGGGACAGCATTTTCCTGGCCACGCTGCTCCCCGCCTGGGCAGGGTGGCTGGCAGCAGCGGTGGCCTTTGCACGGTCCCTCTTGCCCACGCAAGCACCACAATGACCCCTCCGAGCACCAGCTCCAAGCTGGGCAAGCCCCAGGGTGCTAAGGGCACCGTCTGGGGCGGGCAGAGGCTGCCCCGCCAACCCCGCCGCCCCGT